CAACCTGTAATATCTTCAAGAAATTGATGGGTTAGGAAAATTAATGCACATGGATATATTATATTATAATATTGTATTTGTATGTATGAAAGTCCAGAAGCTTACAACCAAGCTGTTCTCTTGATGAAGGTTGGTAAGTTACAAAACAAATCATTTGATATTCATATTATATACTTATTGCATTATTTTCAGGTGTAATTCATCCAAACAGACTTTACAAGAACTTGGTTCCTCCATGCTCCATGGATAATAAACATATCCCGAATGCAATTGCATTGTTGATCTCAAGATTCCTGTTCACAAATCATTACTGGACTCTATGTGAAGTGTCAAGCTACAAATATGTACAATATGTGTATGTGAATATCGTAATTACCATTTATCATTGTTATTTCAGGATGCTTGAAATACCATATCCATGTAGGATTACCAAATATGAAGTATTACAGAGGATAAACAAAGTTGTAGCATGAATTTAAATCAGAAAAACTTCATGACATAAAATTCCACAATTAATTACAAATGGAAAAATACAAGAAAATTCTGACTCATCCAGGGAATCACTTTCCTGTTAAACAAATTTCAAACACTTCAAAGGTCTAGATAAGCAGAAAAGACCCATTATTTTAAAATGTGTACCTCAAAGTTAGGCTAGGTTAAGCCCCAATAAGTGAGATAATAAGGTAATTGCATTTCATATATAATTTGTCTTGTATTGTATCATATGCGACTTAACATAACTTATAAAGTTAAGTAAATGTGCTGATCATTACAAGTAGGTCTTACCTGGCTCTGAGATACAAAATTTCATTTGAATTTAAACTTCTAGGTATAAATTGTGGTTTTAAATTATTATTTATAATTGAGACTCCAGCTACTGAGGATACCAAAAAAATACATCAGCGGCAATAATAAGATTGATGCACTGAGCCTCAAAGAACAGTATGTTCTACTTTTTAAATGTGTTGCACCATATATTAGTGTTGTAGCATATTGTATAAGGAAAAAAGGTAAGGAACCTTAAAATTTTCAATCATTTTATTAAGAAATTCAAATCTCAATACTGAAAGATTTTAATTAATTTGGAACCCCAACTTAAAAGGGAAAATCTATCAAAAGTATGGCATGTGAAAGAAAAGCATTTTCGGGTTGAAAAAGAAATATCAAGAATTAAACTGGTTTGATATTTGAAACACTCATATGAAAAGCAAAGTTTGTTAGTTATTATAGAAACAGCAAAAAAAAAATCGTTGGCTCAAAAGTGTGCATTTACCTCTTGTAATACTAGGAGCTGCAATTCAGTGTGTTTCCTAATTGTACATGAGTGACGAGGCATTTCTTTAATTTCCACCAGTGATGCTATTAAGGAATTTCACCTGTTTATTTTGACAGGCAGTAATGGTATGCCACTGGTGTCTCTTTTATTAAAATTTTTAATCACATCTAAGCAAATTTAATCACTTGAAAGTTTTTCAATCTGATGTACGGTTTTCATAAAAATAAAAACTGTCTCTGGATATTGTTAATATGACAATATCACCATGCAGCGAAATAGTTTCTATTTTTTGGGTGGAAATCATAGGTCTGACTAAAAAAAAATCTTTTCAAAAATACTGTTTATTTATACATAGTGACATTGTGATACTAACGATATTAGGATCATGCAAAGAAACAGTATTTTAATTTCATAAAATTTGCTCAGAAATGACTGATGATTTTAAGAGCAATTTTTATTTTAAGAGAAATCATTTGCTTAATATCATTGTCTGCCAAAATAGGCAAGTGAAATTCGTACGAACGCCACTGGTGGGAATTGAAAGAATGTTGCATTACAAATACCTCTTGATGTACATGTATGCCAAACTTTGATAAAGTATTTAAAGTGGTATTCCAGATCTTTACAAACATTTTTATTAATTTTTGAAAAGTTTACCACTCTGTTTCTCAAAGGTCAAGAGATTTAGGATATACGTCATATGAAATATTCTTCTTCAAATGGACTCAAAGTTACCCCCTTAAATATAGACATTCAATTGGAAAACACCCTGTATATTTTATGTAAGTAAATTAAAAATGAATAAAGGTTATTGTGATACACTGTTATAGTTTTTCATTTTTGATATATTGTTTTTTGGGCTACATATTCATAATTCCTTTAATTAGTTGTACCTTTTGGATATAAAGTCATCATTGGATTGGTGATACTTACGTTTTGACATACTACGTATGAGTTCATTAACAATTTCATGTATTATACTTTTCAGGTGGCAAGTTTTTGTGGAATGTAAATAAAAGCATCATTGGTAAAATCAATATTTATTTAGAAATATAATAGTTCTTTCAGAAATATATGGAAATACAGATTTCATCAATTTGTCATTCTTCTTTTCTCTTAAAACAAATGTTTCATCATGATGTTAACGATATTGTATGCTACTTTCAAAATTAGAAGCTCTACAAACAAAACACTGTGTGGACAAACAATTTAAATATATATCGACTCTTCTTTTTCCTCTAATAACGTGCCTTACACTAGAATTATTCTGTCCTGCAACAGTATCTTGTAATCTCGGCTTCTCAGGATGGGATGTATCTTTGAGCAATGCAAGTAGACCATAGGATAGAGAACGTGAACCACGCAATCCTTTGTGAATCGAAAGCGTTTTTGAAATTCTTGGTCCCTATAATGCTCCAGCGGATTCGACCTATCACGAATATACCTCCTTGGTAAATGAAGTAGAGGGGTTGAGGACCTCTGGGAGTGCTCACCCGATTCAAATAAATCACGTTCTGCCATTTTCACTTATATTTATCACTGCAATAAGCATACGATATAAAAAGCCGACTACAAATTTCAAATTTGAACTGATGTTAAAATCGATTGACTCAAGAGCGAATGCGGAGGGGGCACGGGACGAAACAAAGAAACCAGCATAGCCTCAAAGAGATGCAATATCACTATCAAAACTTGCATTGACAAATTTAGACGTCGGTACAGAGGGGAAGGTGGTAAGTATTGGAGATTGAAATATGAATACGGGGGTATATCCAGGATGCCTATATGCATTACAGTTAGAAAAGAAATTGAACTTTCTGATTTAATAACCGCACATTATAAAATAACGCGTTGAACAGGCCGATCTAAGAAACCGGTTATCCAAATGACAAGTGATCTTTGCCCATCCCTACTACCTGCTATTTTGATTCATGAATAGATATAGGAGGTTAAACTTTGTGGATTAAACTGCGTAAGGGATATATGTTTTCGTATGAAGCCAATCCTTTCTTTCTCGTCAGATAACCATTTGATTCGTAACGTTCAATTCGACTCTCGGTCGAAGCATAAGTACCGAGCTTTAGGCAGTCAGGCTGGTGGAACATGTACCCAAAGGATTCACCCTCAACTTGAGTACCTGCATCTTGCTTTTGGATGTCTCAAAAACCTTTGACAACGTGTGGCATGCGGGTCTCCTCTATAAACTAATACAAAATTGTTTCTCTTTTTCGCTTCTAACAACTACTAACATTCTGCGTCGAAGGAAGTTTCAGATCAAATTTAACGTTTTCTCAAGGTTCGGTCCTAGAACCAATCCCTCACTCGCTTTTTACTCAACAACTGTGGTGTGAAGTCTACCTCTATCCTGACGACACTGCGCCAGTCAAGTACTGGTAATCTAGTTCACGTCAAATTACAAGGTGTAAAGGAGGAAGTACTAGAGTGGGCGGAACGTTGGCTGATTTGATTAAAAGTAATCATTCGAAAATATAGGTATTGTAGCAGAAAACGACGCGGTCCCCACTCGACGTTTCGGCGGACGGTAGTCGTATACAATGAAAAAATTCTGTCATGAACCTCAGGGTCACCCTTGATAATGGCTTGACCTGGCAAAAACATACAGCAGCATTGAAAACAAAAATCCAAATTACTTTCTACAACTATATCCCTTGATATGTAGCAAACCAGTTTGAATAAAAGTTATTATTCTTTTTTTAGTGTTTCTTTTTTCAACAATGTTTTTATTCTTCCTGGGCACCGTTTACATGAATTATCCCCTTTTATAATTCGAAAATAATTGGGAAAAAATTTATTTATGTTTCCTTACTAGCTTTGGCGTATAATATAGTTTATAACACGATCTAATAAATAAGAAACGTTCTTTGAGTTGTTCGAGTTCCAGCAGCCTCTGAAAACGTATTTATATCTGAATAACCGTAAAGTTTTAACTAACTCTGTTGCATAGTGTCCTCTTATTTTTTAAGAGTTAGTTTTTGTTAAACATGCAACTGGACGTCCTACCTAGACTGTCCATTAGCTTATTTCATATGAAAGTGGATTTTGCTCTTTAAAGAATCTGCCCCTTTATCCAACGGTTAACAATCTACACTATTTAAATTCTATAAGTAAGAAAAGTACTATCACAGGGATCGTCAAGCACCACTTTAATGTGTTGTACAACACTGTCAAGAAAGTAAAATGCTGGGACCTTATTGGAATCTATCAGACATCCTATGCTTGTAAACAGCAGTCTCTCAGTATTATCTTACTTTTATTTGCCAAAATAAACAGGAAAAGGTTTTGTTTTTCCTCTGAAAAGGTATATTGCAACAGATTATTTAATCACAATTCCTTTTTTTTCACATTTACCAAATTCTGCTTTTTACATCAGTGCAGCTACTGGAAATTAAACGTCTTATCAATGTAAAGCTAGGCCTACTTTTTTCTATTGATACCTCACCAGATTGGTTTTATTGTTTTTAATTATATGGTTATATTTTTGTCTATTATTAATGCATTGCAGGGTTGAACTTCAAACCAAACTGAATTCATATACACAGAATAGTCAAATATTTGAAATTGACAGTTTGAACTTGATTATATATTTTTGAATGATGGTTAACAGGTTAGATTATTTCCCAAAAATAAGCATTTTTCATTATCTCCATTAACCATACAAAGTTCTTTAGAAAACGTTGAAAATTGAAGTTCTCTGCAATTCGATTCAAGGCTTTGTTTTTGCCCTGAGGCTGACTGTATCATTTTTCTTATTTCCAACCACATTGCTGTATTGATTATCATGGTCAGCAGCTGGAGCTTTTGTTTTTGACGAATATTTTTCTTTTGTAGTCTGCATTGTCAACAGGAACTAAAAACCACAATTTATACATATAATATATACACACAGAACATTCAAATAATTGAAATTGACAGTTTGAAGTTTTGATACGATACATTTTCATTACAGCTTCCCATTTAAAAAAAAACCTTTTCTGCTTATATCAGTATATATATATATATATATATATATGCCCACAAGGCTAATATTGTAAAACAAGGCGAGCACCTCAAATATCAGTCCTATTCAGTGTTTGACATTCCTTAAGCAGGGAATTGATTCCCACAGTTTTCTTGTAATTAGTTGTGGAATTTTCTGCCATGATGGTACAAAGTAATGAAGAATTTAACTTCAAGCTGCAACTCCATTTTCCCATTTACACCTTGTAATGTCTCATAATTGGTGCTCCTACATGCCCATGCTCTTTTTAAAACCCTGAAATCATGATTGTCAATTTACCATGGACTCAATTTCAGAACAGCGTAGCATTGCTACGGCTGACAGTCTTTCTTCATTCATAGAACTTCGCAAAAATGTTTTTATTCTCTTCAATGTCGAAAAGCATCTTTCACTTTCGGCCGTAGTCATTGGTATGGTAACAATTATTTGTAAAGTGTAAAGGTGGCAAAAATATGCTCTGAAGATTATTTTCTATAAAAAACTGTAACAAACTAATGGCACCACTCATATTTCTGAAATCAGGTCGCCGGTAAATTAATTCCAATTAAATTAGAATCTTGTAGCATACGGCCAATACCAGTGGCTTGATTGATGGTAACTGATTGTTTTGAGGTAGCTTCTATTTTTTCCATGCATTCTATTAACAATTCGCGATATTCATATACTGTATTTATAGATCTGCTTTTAAAATTCCATCTTGTAACAGAAGACCTAGGAACTCTGCACCAACAATTTCACCCAAAACTGCAACTCATTGTGGAGAATGAGGCTCATGGATTGTTGGACGGTTCAATGATTCCCTCGTTGGCCATACTGTCTACGAGCTTGTCAGCCTCCTCTCTTTTAGCACGTAGGAGCCTTGTTGCCGTCTGCCGGATGGGGCGGGCATTTTCCGTATTGATCTTGTGCTGGAATTTATTGGTTCTTCCTTTCTGTCCAGTATCGAATACATCCCGATATCTATGTATTACATGTTTCAGCTTCTTTCTTTGGTCTGGTCTTAGATCTTTGCGTGTTTCCAGTTTCTTAGGAATGACCCCTGAGTTTTCTACAGCTGGCATATTTCGAATGATTGCAGAAGCTGGACAGCAGTGTCCCAGCTCCGAGTCTTTCTTCAATGACACAGGGTAATGACTGACATTCATTAGTCCCACAGGAATAGTTTTATCAGCACGCACAAGGGTCTTTGCAACTGCTGTCCCTCGGCCAATAGCCTCGACATGCATGCTAGGTTCAAACATGGCTATTTCTGTAGTTTGGCCCTCTACCGATCCATACAATACAACTTTGCTTCGTTCTGGGATCACGGTGTCTTCAGGCAATAGAACTCGTACGTTTCGATTCCTTTCCCGGTGTAAAATGACCTCCTCATTGTTGACTCTCAAGAGTCCTTGCTTGAAGTTCAACTCGAAGCCCTTTGTGTCCATGATGTCCATTCCGATGATTACCTCGTCCTCAGTATCAGCTACTATCGCCGGATGTTCTAATTTAGCTTTTCCTATTCCAAATGCGATGTTAACTTCACCGTACACGTTTGCTGGGTCTCCCGTCGCCGTTTGTAGTCACCATTTGGATGGTCGAATTTTCGCCAATGCTTTTACCATGTCGGGCCTTATGATAGTCTTTCCGCACCTGTATCCACAAAAGCATCGACAGAAACACTATTAGACTGATATTTAAGCGAGGAGACTTAGACGGTATTAACTGATGGGGCTTGTTGGCTACAGGTCGACGATAGCCCCTCCACATCGACCTCCCTTATTTTCCGGAGTGGCTGGATGGGGACTAGCACCTTCAGGACAGAGTCTCTTAACGTGCCCTATTTTGCCACATTTCCAACATTCGAACTTGCTGTTCTGGCGGCGACGTTCACCATCAAGTTCCTTAACAATGCGCTTGACGGACTCTTCGAACTCGTCATCTCCTGGTACCATCTGGCGGACTCGGACCTGGCTTTTTGTTTGTGTTTTTAGCGGCTTCGAAGACCCGAGTTAGCGCATCTACCAGCTTAGGTGGATGTGCTAGTAGTCCATCCATCCAAGTCCATTGAACTGCCAATCGCTCCATTATCCTTTCCTGAACATCGGGATATGCTAATCGTACCAACCGCGCAATATCCGCTTCGAATTCCTACAAGGAACTCGCCTGACTTCTGGAACCGATTCTTTAATTGAGTATGGTAGACATGTTCTAAATGTCACTGGCCATATCGCATCTCCAAATGTCCTATTAGTTGTCCGTAGACCTCTTGCTCTTCGGGTGATATCCTTTGAAGAATAGCTGCAGCATCTCCTCACAGGGCCAAAGTGAGTGCAGTTGCCTTTTCGGTCAATGGCCAACCATTTGCATTCGCGGCTGCCTTAAACTGACGTTGGTACACATTCCAAGGCATTGTACCATCAAATTGCGGCGGTTACATTCGCAGATGACCAGCTGCCCCAATAGAAGCTCTAACCTCACTTGATTTTCCAAGGGAAGTCCACGCTGTCGTTCGTCGATGGTCTTGACGTCTAAAGCGGCAAACTTGCCTTGGACTTCTTGAATTCTGTCCTCCAGAGTTCTAAAATCCGTTTTTCCAACTTGGAAGAATTTTCCATAATTTTATATTCCAAATCTTTTTTTAAATTGGCGGTATTTTCCGAAAACTTCTCTTCTAATTTGACTGTACTTTCGTGTAAATCGAAGAGGTTTCCTCCTAGATTGGCACAATTTTCCACGAGCTTTCCATTTAGGTTGATACAATTTTCCACGAGCCTTCCTCCTAGGTTGGCACAATTTTCCACGAGCCGAATTTCTAACTCGGTCGAGTTTTCTAAAAGATCGGTGGTCTTGGTCGAAAGGTTTTGCAGTATTAAACCAATATCCCCTGCACCGGTAAAAATGAAAGTATCCGAGTCTTCGCCTTCTCCAACCAGTGCTTGACAAAGCCGCTCCTGTAATTCTACTTTCTTTCCAGCCGTGTCGCACTCACTTACCTCCAGCTCTCTCTTTAAATCGGCAATTTCCAAATCAACCAATCACGCCTTTTGTCCTTCACTGATCGTCCGATTTATTTTCATTAAATGTCCGATAATCCACACCCCACACCTGTCACCAAGGTAGCGTTTTTCTGGGTATGGATTAAAACACTGGATTCTACAAAAAGAAATGCACTAATTTGTTTAACTTGATAGAACATTTATGTACACCACTATTTATGTCTGACTGAACTATACTCCACTCCGCTCTGCTCTACTGACTCTGCTTCCCTCTCCTGGCTGTCGAGTTATATAGTCCTCGTCGTGTGTCGAGCATATTCCGGTGAGCCACATAGCCGCATTCCAGAATCGTTGAGGTCACTTCGCGTCGATCTAGAAGGCGAGTCACTGGCACGGTCCTCACAAATGTCGAAAAGCGACTTGTGCGGTCGTGATCCGCGTAAAAACAGAGATCGGCCAGGAAGCTCTGGCGAGTAGGAGAGTCTCGCAACAGATGGCGCCAACAGTACTACTCGTATTTATTCTTGTCACAATATATAATTAACCCTACGTATTTGATGCTTGATATTAAAATATTTCTACATCAACTTTGTTTATTCTTATTGAGAATTTTTTTACTATTTTATTCTTCTATTTAAGAATTAGAGATTTGATTTATTGACATTGATCTTTGATTCATTCGAATACAGCCATTTATACTGCTCACTGGTTGTTTTATATAGAAGAACTACTTCTTCAGCAAATGGACAATTCAAGTATTATGTAAGCATTAAAGAGTGATTTATAAAGTTGGGTAATTTTACTGATTCCATGTTCAGCAATTTTCCAGTTACAACTATATTGTTATTTAATTTTACTAATACTTTCACAATATAACATTTGATTTTTAGTATCTCTGACTGAAATACCAGCGCTGAATCTGTTGCTTATTTCAGTATGCTTCCATTACTTCTTGTTCATCGATGAGGTCTACCAAAACTGAGTTATGGTTTCATTTTCATTCTTTCTCAATAGAACTACCAAAATTAGAATTAAATCCTTTTAATTTATAAGTTTTAATTAATGTACTGTCTACTATGTTATGTAGGAGAATGTAGCCAATCTTCAAACAACAATAATATATGGTTTTAATAATAAGTGAGACAATAGTGACAAGTGGAAAAGACATCCACAGTTTCAGAAACTGTGCTGGAGTTCTTACGTAATGTTAATGTTTCCTTCCATTAATACAATAGTTGAATACTGACAACTAGAACTTGAGTTCAACAAATGCTGATTTGAGTAACATACAAAAGATGAATAATTAATTCAATCACTGCAGATGAGAATTAACTTCAAGTGGAATCTTATATTTTATACTTACATACTGCCACATATTGCAATTATATTCACTGTACACTGTGGAATTACAAGTCATAAACATGCTGACAGTATCGCAACGCGGGTGCAGTGGTGATTTTATGTAATTCTCAAAGTTTTTGAAATTACAACACATAGTTTTGAACATAACCTGTCTTCAGAAAGAACAACACAAATAAACCGTCTGGCACAGCTAATAGATCTATTTCATTGGCAGCATAGTCAGTAATAATTTTCTCAATTTTATAACCATGCAGACCAATACAATCATCCAGATGCGGTCTTGCTACTCAACCAAACTTTCCTTCTTCACATTTTAAACACTACAGTTTGAGGTCTATAAACTAAGTGGGTCTCTGCAACCAGTAATGCATATTTGGGAAGAGAAGAGTATCTCGTATCGTTCAGTTAATCCTCCATAGACGGACGCTTTGGATCGCGCTTACAACGACCCAAGTGAGCAAACGTGGATTGACCCTAAAAACTACCTAGTCTGCAAGTTGACATCTCTTAGGTTTTTTGACGTTTTATAGGTTTTTTACATGATACACGTGCCGAACTGTAAACGCAGCTAAATATCCTTGAAACCAATTTTCTAGTGTCCATTACAACTTTATCACCTGATGGAAACTTTATTTTTCAACAAGATGGGGCGTCATGTAATACGGCCAAAACCACGGAAAATGGTTGCAGGTTAATAATATTTCCATCTTCCAGTAGTCTTGATTTGAATATTATCGAAACTGTATGGCACAAAATGAAACAGCAGTTAAGAAATGATCCGCAACGAAACATTTACGAATATTTTGTAACCGTAAAAAATAAACAAACTTTGAGATAAAATTAGATAATGTCCGAACTATTTTGTGCTAGGGCTCTAATAAATCGGTCCGTAGTATTCCACCCCCGTACTCAAGAACGCCTTGACTTGCTGCACCCGATGTGCTGGCAAGTCCGCCATTATAGGACTCAAATTTGCATTGCCTAATTGGCCCCCACCCTGATAAGACCATCTTTATATGTATATATATATATATATATATATATATATTATTCATAGTTAATTGCCTT